TTCAGCAGGGATGTCCCTGCGGGGCCGCTCACCCAGCTTTGGTTTTGTGGAGGGATGAGAATTTAAAGCAGAGTGTGTTGGAAAAGCTGTGCGGCAGCAGAAATATTAACTTCTGGCACGACTGCTGCTTTTCGTTGGCGGTGTGGTGGGGGGATACACCTGTGAATAAAATGTGAGTTTTGTTGGGGCGAGAGAAAGGAGAACTCAATCAAGATCTGCCACATGAGGGTGCTCTTGGGTTTCCAAACCTTGCCTGTTGAGCCGCTCGCCTAGAACCCAGGAAAGGAGTCTCATCTGGCTTTCAGGGCTGTGGTGGTGACTGGGGAAATAGGGGATAAACAGAGATTTTTGGAAAAAAACCTAACAAGTAAATCTTTTCCTTCGTGGCAGGAGTCAGAATAATTTGATGCTTTACTAACATCAGTCATGAAACATCTAAATGTTCACATAGTACTGATTCGTCTGCCCGTCCTGCTGCTCAGGGAACACAGAATCACACAGAATCGCAGAATCATTGAGGCTGGAAAAGCCCTCTGAGATCATCACGTCCAGTGTACAACCCAACACCATCGCAATGGCCAGACCATGGCCCTCAGGGCCACAGCCAAGCCCTCCTCAAACCCCCCCAGGGACGGGGACTCCCCCCTGCCCTGGGCAGAACATCCCAATATCTGACATGCAGCAAAGCCGCTGCTTCAGTTCGGCAGGTGGGAGAAGCTTTTGCAGTCACCTGCTTCTGGAGCAGGTCGTGTGCCGTTGCATACTCGGTCACGTCTGGATCCGAGCGGTGAGATTGGTCTTTAACGAGGTCACTGAATAATTTGGCTTGGAAGGGACCTCTGAGGTTATTTGGTCCAGTTCCTAGGCACCTTCTTGTCCTTGGAAATGTGAGTGAGAATTACTTGTCTGGCTTTGGTTGTGCTATCCTCCTTTGCTTCTTGTCTGATGCCTTTTAGTTTTTGTCAGCAAAACAGGCCAGAAATGATCATTTTCTAGATGGTGGCCAAGTTCAGTGCGAAAACAAGTAATGAAACATTTAAAGGGTAACTCCCTGCAGACTTCAGAATAAACTTTGAGGCTGAGGTGGTTTTAGTTGTTAGTGCAGGTGTATGGATAGCTCGCATTTTTTCCCCCCTTTTCTTTCCCAAGTGGTTTGTAGCGCTGGTTGACATGGTGTGTGCTTGTTGCGTGGCGCTGCCTGCTCAGACACAACGAATTGTCTAGACAGCTGTCTAGAGGAAAAAAAAATCCTGGCTGCAGCACATTTGTAGGATTTTGTTCTTGATTTTGAAGGTTTCATGTATTTTTAAAGAATGCTAACTTTGCGTGTGTGGCAGTAGTGTAGAATCAAGAGCTCAACACGTCAGAACGTATCAGTGAACACACCGAGAGTTGGGTCCTGTCTGTGGAGTTATAAACCGTGTGTGGAGGTGATGCTCAAGGTACGACCCGGTTGTTGTATTGGTTTATTTTTTCCACTGCATTTTCTGTCCCCTATGTTGTAGCCTTTTATTTAAAGGGCACTGGGAATATGAAGTTATTAGTTTCTGCTAAGCCAGAAGTAGGAAATATATTTAATGGGTCGATGGTTCTGAAGCTCTTTTTTATAAATAATAATGACACGTTAACAAGACGTTTCCATATGCTGGCTATTGAAGGGCACTTACCACTCGAGCATCAGTGCTTTGCCATTTTCATTGCTGTATCAAGGGAAAAGAAAATAAAACCTTTTCTGTTTAGGCACAGATGTCGCGCTTTTAACCTGTAATGCATTACACTGGCCGTCTCTGACTGAAAACAATTAGGGGGTAGCTTTATTTTACTGAAAGATTCCCACCTCCCATTTGGCAA